GTATGAGCTGCTTATATATTCTGGAGATCAAGCCTTTGTTGGTTTCATATGCAAAAATTTTCTCCCATTCCGTAGGTTGTCTTCTTGTTTTACTTCTGGTTTCCTTTGCTGTGCAGAAATACCATATGAGATTGCTCATATGTGGAATCTAAAGAACAAAAGCAAAAACAAACAAACAAACAAAAACAAAGCATAAATATAGGACAGAAATAGACTCATAGACAGAGAATACAGACTTGTGGTTGCCACGGGTGTGGAGGGTGGGAAGGGATAGACTGGGATTTCAAAATTGTAGAATAGATAAACAAGATTATACTGTATAGCACAGGGAAATATACACAAAATGTTATGATAACTCACAGAGAAAAAAATGTGACAATGAGTGTGTGTATGTCCAGGAATGACTGAAAAATTGTGCTGAACACTGGAATTTGACACAACATTGTAAAATGGTTATAAATCAATAAAAAATGTAAAAAAAATAGATAAAATCATATTAAATTTTTTTAATGACCTCAAAAAAAATGACTGCAAAAAAAAGAACAAAGCAAAAACAAAAACAAAAAAATAAGCCTTTTCTGCTTATGGGTAGATATGGGTGCCCATACTCATTAAATAAATCAAACCCTTTTCCTTTGTTCAGTACTCTTCTTTTGGTGGTAAATGTTAAAGTTAAAATCACCTGGGGAAGTCACTTTGATGAATGTTCTTCTCGCTTATCACCAAAGTCCATATAATCTCTTGGGAAAAAAACAGAGAAATAATGAAATACGATTTAGATTGAACAGTAATGTTAGAATGATCACTAGGGCATCTTATAATATTTGAGCACTACTTTTCTTCTCTAGATTTTCCTGTGTCATAAAGTAGTAAGATGCAAGATTTCTATAATGTTTTAATTCTGCCAACAAATCTATTAGTTTGGTGCCTGCTCATATATAAACTCTATAAAGACAGATATTTTGATATGTTTGTTCCACAGTATATCCCAGCACCTAGAACAGTGCCTGGCATAGAGTATGAACTAATAAATATTTGTTGAATGGATAAATGAATAACTTTTAATCTTTTGCATATGAAAAAATCCTCTGAAGCTCAAAGAGATGAAATAACTTGTCCAAGTCACATGGCTGGAAAATTGCAAAGCAAAATCTAAAACTTAGGTCTCCAGAATCATGAATTAATGCCAGAGCCCACTGTACTGTACTGTTCAAGGATTGGGTGTTGGGCAGCTGTTGAAAAGGTAAAAGCTGACTAAAATGTGGTCTGTGAGGAGGTTCTAGTCCAGTGGGGAAAACATATGCATTCAGACAGAAGTAAATAAAACAATGAGGGAAGAGAAGACATCATGAAGGATCCTACAAAGCATTATGAAATCCCAGTAAATACTTGAATTTTCTGATTGTAGGGGTCTATGATGTCTTCACAGAGCTGGTCTTTGGATTGGCCTTTAGAAAATTATTAGATTTAGCAGGTGAACAGAATGAAGTTGGGGTTTGGGGGTCAGGCACTGATGGCAGAGAGAAAAGATATTGGAAGTTTAAACAAACATGATCTACTCTGAAACAGAAATTACTTGACGTTGAGGTGTCAGGTGTTTGGCTTCAGAAGTAAGAGACATCATTGAAAGACATATTGGCATCAGGGAGGACCTTTGACATCAGCTGAATGCATTAGCTCTGATTTTGTTGGCAATGGAAATTCACTGAAAGGGTTTCAAGCATGGTAGTGATAGGACTAAATTTGTTTTGTTATATAACTTTGGTAGTAGGTAGAGGATGGACTGGAGTGGGGAGAGACAGAAGCAGTGACACTAATAATAGACACATTTTGACACAGTTAAGTGATAGAGAATAACCAGGAATTGGATATTTACTACATCCTGGTGGCCAGGATATAGTTATATTCACCCTGCAGAATCCTGCTCACGCACCTGATAGTAATATATTGACTTAAGCAGATGAAAGATTACAAAATGACTCCTGATTACTTCTATATAGAAGTGGCTTTTAATCTGTTATTAGCCATAGACCTCTTTGAGAATCTTATAAAGTCAGAAGCACTTTCCCTAGAAAACTACAAAGATTCACATCTACACAAAATATGGTTACAAATTTAGAGGCTCTGTGTACCTTTAAGGCCCAGCTGTATAGCCCAGAGCATCTAATCAAGGGCTTTCAAAATTTTATATAAAAATCACCTGAAAGCTTGTTGAAACGCACATTCGTAGCCTTCCCCAGGAAGGAGCAAGATGGAAGGAAGAGACCTGCATTTTGTATAAGTTTTCCTGGTGATTCTGGAGCTGGTGAGTAAGAGACCACATTTTGTCAAACTCTGCTTAGAGGGCTATGGAGGAGAGAACTAGAGAGTGGAGGCTCACAGAGCTGGAGATTGAAAGTGCCTAGAAATTCAGAAGAACGAATTAGACCTTGGAGAGCTGAAACTGGGGAGATTAATGTCAGGAGAATGAAGTACAGGGTAAAGTAGAAGTGAAAGTCGGAGCTGTGTACACTTGGGTGGGAGGTACTGGGTACCGGAGCAAGGAAGCGGTTTGAAAATAGTGGGAAGATTCTGGGCTGTGCGAATTGCTATTAAGGCAATCCCTTGTGATCAGAGCCAACCCTCCTAAGAGAGGTCCCCTAGATGGTTTCAGAGGAGAGATTAGCTACCGTCTCTGCTCACCCGCTTGGTTACTCAAGATAGAAAATAAAGGCAGGACTCATGCCACCTCTGACTTGTGAGCACCTCGCTCGCCACCATCGTCACCAGTGAGTTACAGTGTCTGCACTGGGGCTGAGGGGGGGGGGGTCCTTTATTCCTTTAACTTTACAAGTGAGCAAACTGAGGCACTCAGCGAGGGAGAGCGTAAGCCTAGATCACAAGTAAGTAACACCTGTGTTAAGACCACAACCCGGCTTTCTGTTCCCTGGCCCGGTGTTCTTCCCTCTCCCTACCTGGTCCTGAAATAAAAAATACTTTATGGAACCCCTTGTTCCATGAATTCCTTGGGAAATGTGCTCACCCCAAAAAGACTTCAGGGAAATTCATTCAGTTGCAAATATATCTTAAGGCAGGTTAACGCTTTTCAATGAAAACAACGCATTGGCGTGCATGCAGTTTCGTTTCCCATCCATTTTAATGCAATGTGGTCATTACCAAAAGCAACCTGGACAAAAGCAAGGTTTGTCTCAGTGCTTACGTGCTCCTCGTCATGGAGCGGAGAATGAACGCCACCGCATTCTCAATAATCTCCGTGCCCAAGAGGTTCAGGAATTTGGGGAACTCTGGCTCTAGTTTTTTGCTTGAGTCGTCTGGTTTGTTGTCTGGTTTGTCACCTGTTTTGTCATCTGAAAAACAGAACAGAACCTCAGGGTTGATTCTTAGCGAAAAAGGAAGGGAAGTCTCTCTCCCTTGGAAGGAGCCCCAGAGCCCTGTACACCCGCTCTCACTAGTTACATAGCCTCATCTGGTCATATTTATCCCACGTTTAATGCCTGCCTGGTTAGCATCTCACATGCAGTATGTCGTTTACTCCTAAAACCAAACAGACCGACAGATAATGATGCTTAGGTACATGTTGGTTCTCTTTCCGGATGAGAAAACTGAAGTTCATGAAAGTTAAGTAACTTGTTTGGAGTTAAGCAGCTGGTAAATACCAGGGCCGGGATTAAAAAACAGATTGTCTGGTTTTAATATATTTTTCTCATGTAATCCCTGGGCCCGTGCTAATAATAATAATGAGGATATGATAATAGGTCACATTTGCTGAGCACATTCCTGGGACAGGCAATCTGCATGCATTATCTCATTTTATTCCCACAGCGACCCTATGAGGGAGGGGTTACGGTTATCCCAAGTTAAAGGTAAAGAAGGGAAGTTGAGAGAGGTTTGGAAGCTGCTCAGAGTCCCAGAGTTGGCAAGTGGCAGAATCAGAATTTCAGTCCCATGTCTGTTCGGTATTAAAATCTGGATTCTTAAGCATTCTGTGATGAACTGCATAGTGTTTGTGTTTGACAGAAAAGTTATGAGCTAACCACAAGTGTGCTGTAAGGTTGAAAGTGGTATACTGATAATGAGAAGGAGGAGAAATTCTATCACTTGTACATCATCTGACAGTTCTATAAATGATTTTACATTTGCACAATTTTCTGCTTGACCGATCTTGTGGAGGATGCAGATTTGATCTCATGGGACTGAGATACTGAGAAGATTAAGTAACTTTCAGGGAATCTCACAAATTGCCACACAGGATGGGATTGTAACTGCAGGTCTTGTACTTTTGACATTTCATCAAGTGCCTTTTGAAATGAGGCCAAGGAGCCGGAGGGTGCAGTTGGTGACGTGTGAGGTCCCTTGGTGGGTTCTGGCTTTGCTTAGTGGTCTTACCGGTTCAGAAGATTAAGAGAATGGGAGATGGGCAGTGAGCAGGTGGGCTCTCCTCTGGACCCTGGTGCCAGGATGAAGTAGGACCTTTAGCTTTTAGTTTTATCACAGCCTTGCAAGTAGTGTTGGCAGGTTTGGCAAATAAAAACACAGGATGCCCAGTTAAAGTGAATTTCAGATAAACAACAATACTTTTTTAGTATAAGAGTGACCTGTGAAATATTTAGGATGTATTTGCACTAAAAAATTATTTGTTTATCTGAACTTCAATTTTAACTGGATGCTTTGTGTTTTATCCATTAATCCTACTGCAAATTTTGACACAAGGAGTCCCAATTTTTAGACAGTGTACCCTGTGACTGAATGCAGGAGATGTAACTAGCTTTTGGTGTAGAGGCTGTCAAGTTAGTTAGAAGACTTGCATGTATATTATATCCTAAAATAGAAACTCTTGGTAAAAAAAAAATATATATATATATATGGCTTTCATATCTGCAAACATATATGCCACAAGAAAAGCTGTGGTAGGAGCACCACCAGTCTGAGACCTATAACCAGGATCAATATTCTAACCACCAGTATTTGTTCATTCAGCTGTTGGTTTTCCACGTGTGTATTCTGCACACAGCATATGCTAAAAGTTAAGGCAGCAATGGTAATGTACGATATGACCCTCACATGAAGCACAGAGCAGCCACAGTGACCAGAACTGCTTTGTTTTCATTACAGGGAGGGGAAGGAAAGAGAAAGCAATCTGTGATGCACAGGTCCTGGGATGTGCTTGCATCACATGTCTAATCCTTATTCAGCTGAGTGATGGTATTACAGCTTTACAGGCAAGAAAACAGAGGCTCAGAGAAAGTAAAGGACTCACCTAAAATCTCACATCTAGAAAGTGGCTGAGCTAGGGTTTGAACCTAATTTTTTTTTTTTTAACTTCACAGAGCACATTATTTACATGATAGAATATGGCCTTCAAGCAACTGTCCCTGAAAACATTTACCAGGTGCAGACCAGGAATTCGTTGCATGAAAAGTGAGTTCCTTTTTTTCTGTGTTCCTATCTACCTACTTGCATAACAATTTAACCTTATCAAATTTTAATTTTAATTTAAGTTTAATTAAATGCTAACTTTGCGATAATGCGAGGAGCCCTGGATGGTGTATGTCGGAGGTGAGATCCAGCCCTTGGATTGCACCTGTAATGAGAGGTATAAGAGTGTAATGGGGCGTGTTTTGGAGTCTTGTATACATGAGTTTGATTCTTGTCTTCAACAAAACTTCACCATGTGACCTTGTAAACAGTACTTAACCCCTCTGTCTCTGTTTCCTCATTGTGTTATTGTCAAGATTGAAAGATTCTTTATATGTCTGTGATATAGATCGTACACATGTACATATATGCATATACATAGATCTACATGTCTTTATTATATAGACCACATATTGCAGTACTAGGCCTAAGGTAAGCCAACAGTAAATGCTCACTGTATTCTTGGTACTGTTACCAATAGTAATAGCAATGAAATGATTCACAGTAGCTTTCTCCTCTAGTGCTTAAAGAAATTAGGAAAATTTTTCAATGCTGTTAAAATATTAAGAAACTTGAAAATGTTGAAAAATATAATAAAAATCAAGAAACTGGACATAACAGGAAACAAATGATCAAAGCCAGTGATTGAATTTTTCCTCCTTTCAAGTATAATATGGGGTTGCCGTTATTTACGTTCACTACCTGATTGAGTTTCTTAGTAAACATAGAGTTGTGAAAAATACAAAAATGCTGATATTGATACGGGTTTTATAGTTGACAAAGTGATGACAAAAGCACGTGGATTTGACCTGGTGAAGTTGATATGTATACAGTTTTACAGATGAAGAAACTGAGGGTCAAAGCAGTGAACTGATTTACCCAGTTTCAGAGTTCATGACAGAGCTGGGACCGTTCTCTAGGATATAAAGGTCACCTTTCACTTTACCGTGGTGATTGCTTTAGGAGCAGATGAACCCAGTCATCTCTGAGGCCATCCCTGCAGTCGCTCTGCTGGCGTGTCTGCCTGTGTGTTGTGCAGGCGGACAGTGGGTGGCTGAGGGTGTGAGTTCTGCCAAGTTACATTTAGAACAGCTCAAAAGGCTCTGTTACTAAATGTTGGCACTGTCGGTGTTTTCTGACCATCCTTCTGAATGGAGACAAGTTAAGAGCTCACTGTCTTCTGCAGACCAAAAATTAATGAGAATTCTGCATGCTGCCTCGTGGTCCTCTGTGTGCTTGAACAGACATGAAAGAAGTAGGTGCTTTATGATAGAAGGAATTGAAGGACTTAGGTTCCAGTCTCAGGTGGGCCGCCTCTACCTGTGTCTGTGCTTGGGTAACTTCCCCTCTGCAAGCTTCGTTTACTTACCTGCAGAAAGGGAGGTGATAAAACTGTGCATGTTTGCTTAAGAGTATTATGAGAATCAAATGAGATAATATATGAGAACAGTAGCAGTCAACACTTATTGGTTGCCTATTATGGACCAGATACTTTTCCAATATGTTCGGTCTGTTTTATTTAACTTTCGTGACAGCTAAGTAAGAAAGTGAACTATCGATATTCTGCTTTAAGTGTGAGGCTCGTAGAGCTTAAATAACATGCCTGAAGTCACATTTCTGAGTGGTGGAGCCTGGCCTGGAGTCTTATTCCAGACTTCACACCTTTGAATATTATTAGTTATAATCATCAAAAAATAAACACCCTCAGCTCTCAAGGAATTTATAATACACTAGTGTCACTGTATCACATGAAGATGTAAGAAAGATAATATATAAGATATATATATATATATAATATATAAAATATAAGATATAAGAAAAAAATCATTCTAAATCTTCATACATTCACTGAGGATAGAGGCTGTAACTGAGGCACATTTAAGTAAAAATCCTGCTTTCTTTTTGCTAGAAGATCTGCCTCTTGTCTCCCATCCAGTGCTCTTTCTGCAGTGCCTGAAGTCTCCCTCCTTCTCTCCCCACGACTCTCCACTTATATTCAGGATAAGTGACGCCAACCTCCTCCAATCACGGCTAACACAGTGCATGAGCAGCGGTCAGTCAGAAGTACTCACCAGCCTGGCAAATCAGGAGTAAGGCAAGCAGTCCCAAGACAGTTGTCAGCCGAAGCACTGAGACAGCCATGTTTGTAGCACTGGGTATCAATGCAGATAAGTTGTTCAGATGCACCTGAAGCCTTGCTCCATTTATAGGGCATTTATAGGTGACATCATCTGCTGTGGAATTCAGGTTGTTGCGTAAGATATCAGTACAGCCCGTTCTTGGATCTCTCCTAGTGAGCCCTGCCCTGTCTTTCAAACCAAGAGCTTTTCAGCTAGGGAAAGAAAAGCCCTCTTATTTTTCTTATGTGTGTTTATGAATGGCACTGGCATAATTCTTTTGGAGTTCGTTCCACCACCAGCGTTGACAATTAGATAGGTGGGCATCAGGCAGAATTGCTACTCAGTGCCAAGCAGCAAGCAACAAATCAGACTGGCGAGGTGCGCCCGCTCCCCTCCCTGTGCACTCTGCTTCTCCCTGTGCTCTGAGCTAGTTACTTGTCCCCATGTGGACATACCCATTCACACTCCCACGCCTTGGCTCCTGCCCCTTATTTTCTCAGGGATGTCCTCACCATGATCTCCCCTGGGCACATTCCTGCTTATTCCTCAGGCTCAGGTTCAAAGGCCCCCCTCTCTGCAAAATCTCCATCAGGACCATTCCACCCCGCTGCAGATCGCTGCTCCGTCATCTGCCGTGTATCACCCTTGATCGGTTGTGTGGGAACTCACTGCTTTAATAGCTCTCTTCTCCTTTAGTCTGTAGATCTCTTAAGGGCAGAATATTTCAGTCACTTCTGAATTCTCAAGGAGCCTTGTCGAGTGCTGGCACTGGTCTCCGCTGTGACTTCACTTCCTCGGGAAGGTGGTTCTAGTTCTTCCAGGCAGAGCTCGCTGTTCTTCTCATGCACCTGATGTGGACCTGTTTAAATATCTCCTCCCATCGGCTGTAGGCTCCTGGAGGGCAAGAATATCTTTTTCAGAGTTGAATATCTATTACTCAAGGCATATAGTAAACTTAAAGAGAAAAGAAGAATCATTAAATGATTGCACTCAGTGAAAAGGAATATTGGGTTTGAGACACTGTTCTGTATCTCAGGTAAAAAATACCCTTCCTTTTGGATGTAAACATTCAGGGGGATAAAATTTGGTTCAAGTCTAGATGATACTGGCTACCCTGAGGAATGCTGCAATAAAACCTCACCTGCGGTGAGGACTTGGGGGTGCTCTTTAAACTGACAGACTGACTAAAACTTACACATTGTGAGTGTCAGAGGGCCCTTTTAATAAATGGTGAGAGTCACTGAGGTACAGAAAAAGGAGGCTTATCTAGTGTCACAGACCAAGGCTGGGACATGGCCATCTTACTTCTGGTTTAGTACTCTTTACAAGGCACCAAACTGTTCTTGAAAGCCATCAGGCAGCTCTGCATGGACACTTCCAGGCCTCCCAGCCTATCCTCTCAGGAAGACTCTGGTCCCGTCTCCCCTGTACAAAGAGTTGTGGTCTGAAGACAGTGTTCACAGGAGGAAGATTTCAGCAAGTTGGATTTACGCCATCAGGGTCTCTGCTTAGGACTGAGTGCTGTGTTGTCCCAGGGGCTTGGGGGGACGTGACATTCAGGTGGCCTCTATTAGACATCCCATGGACCCTGACGGGGCTGTATTTGCCTGGGAAGGGGTAATGATGCCTTTTCCTTTGCATAAGCTTTGAGCCCTCACGGCTTAATCAGCCCAGATGGGGGCATGTTTTTCTAACTCACCACCAGAACACTGTTGTGGCAAGCAGAGGCTGGATATTACAACCCAGGAGAGAGGCCTGCTGGCTTCTCAAGGACATCAGCTAAACGGGGCATGCAGACAACTCCTGAATCAGCTGACTTCAGAGGTCTGCAGTGGGGGGAGCTCGCCCCATCCCGAGAGTCAGGAGAGCTGGCTTCTGTGTCCCGCTGACTCATTGTGTGGCCGATGAAATACCCTCCAGGCCTGACACTCAGAGTTCTCTGCTGTGTGCTTGTCACTTCTCTTCCCTGGGTTAATTCCTTTTAGCTTCAGGTTTCAGCTATCATATCTGTCTCTCTCTCTCTCTCTTTTTTTTTTTTTTTTTTTGTTGCAAACTTCTGTGACCTTTGAATCTGATTCAGATCCCTTTATTAGAATCTTTGATACTCTTTACTCTTCCTTCTTAGCACTTAAATATTATTTTTTGTTTGATTAGTGTCTCTCTCCCCAAGAAATATTAAAATCTGGTCTATGTTGTTCACTGAGACAGCTCTGGGTTCTAGGATAATGCCTGACACATAGAAGATACGTGTCAATTAATGAATTAATAATTTTGAGAAGAGAAGTGTGGACTCATGCGATAGTCCTATCAGTAATTATCTGTGTGACTCTGACAAATGACTGATACCACACTAAGTCTCAGATTCCTCCTCTGTAAAATTGGGACATAATTTCATGCCTATTTATCTGTACTATCTTAAGGGTATAGGAGATAGATAAAATGCCTGATGAACTGTAAAGAATCTTGAATGTGTGCCATATTAAAAGAAGTTAAGAAGTTGTGACTTACCCTCCATTGGCATAAGCAAATGAATTTGACTTTAGGTAGAGGAGGAACTGAGATTGTGAGAGACAGTTTTACCCAAGCTGGGAGGAGGAAATGAGGACCTTCTTCCAGGATGCTGTTCTAATAAGGCAAGAAGATATGGGAATAAAAGAAATATGGCATGCTTTAATTTCTATGAACATTTCCGTGCATAACAAAGTCATCAGAGTTCTTTTGTAGGGTAGGAAATAATTGCAGTCTGGGTTGGAAATCTCATAGAGAGATTTTGATGTGTGTTAGTGGTTAAAAGCATGAGCTTTGGGATTAGACAGAACTGGGTTTGAGTTTCAGATCACCACTTGCAAGTTGTGTGTCTGTGTGTCTTAGAAATAGTTCCTAATTTCTTTATGCTTTGGATCCAGTGTCTACAAAATAAGAAAAATAATATCTCTCAGGGTTGTTATGAGGATTGGATAAAAAAAAAACATGCAAACAGCAGAGTATCTTGAACATACTAAGCGAAAAATAAATGGTGGACTTGTTATTTCTATTCTACTCTATTCTGTCCCGTTCTGCCTTGGATTGTCCCAGAGGAGGGAGTGAGGCCGTGCAAGCAGCATTAGGGATGGTAATAATAGTAATAGTAGTAGCAGGCTAATGTTGTTAACTCTGGCCAAGTGTCAACCTAGATGAAGCATACCAACAAAGCTTTTGGGAGGGTGCCATTATTATTCTAACTTTATATAAGGTAATTCAAGTTCGGAGAAGTAATTTGCCTTGCCTCACAAATCATGTATGAGCCACAGCAAGGCGCTGAGCTCAAGGATACGTGACTTGAAAGTTTATGCTGTTAACTACCATATCATGTTGCACTTGTGGGTGCTCAGTGCTACTACTGGTAAGAAAGCCGGGTCAAGCAAGGAACTCTACAGTCACCAGCCTGTTTGTGCAGATTCATCTGTGTCTGCTCTGTTTTCCCCACTAGTCTGTAGATTTCCTATTGACCCACATCATTCACCTCTGTTTTAGCTCAGTTTGATGTATCAAAGGTACTGGGTACAGAGGGCCCTCTTAATCCTTGGCAGGAAGTGAACTGGAAAATAGGGCTACAGAATTAAATACAAGATGCCTCATTAAATTTGAATTTCAGATAAACAGTGAGTAATTTTTTTTAGCGTAAGTATGTCCCAAATATTTCATAGGACGTATTTTACCAAAAGGAATTTTGCTGTTTTGCTGACATTTAAATTTAACTGGACATCTTTACTTTCATTTGCTGAATCTGACAACCCTACATGGAAAGGCCCTCATCAGTGTTTTCTTAATTAAACCTCAGATCAGACAGTAAAGGACAGGTCTGAGGGGCATCAAGGAAATGATTAAAAAGTAGTATGTAAGAAGTTAAAATCATATATGGAAAGTGGAAGTTACTGAAAAGCCCCAGTTCCTCTTTAATAGCACATTGGGGCATATTTCACCCCTGTATTCCTCATAAGAAAATCATTGGCTCCTCTCTTGTTCTTGAATCACTCTACCTGAAGTTTCAGGCCAGCCCTGGAAGGGATGCATGTGGCTGCAGGAAGGGGTCCTACTCCCAGTGTATCCGTACGCCAAGGAGTGGCTGTAGTCTTTGTCACCCTAATCACCTTTCTACACATACCTTATAATTTAGTCAATCCTCAAGCCATCCATCAACTTATTAATTTCTTATTCAATGGACATTTCTTGAGCTTGCACTGTTTGCCAGGTGCTCTGCTAGGCACCATGGACAGGAAAATGTGAAATACCAGTCCTGGACCTCGCCTTTGTTGAGGAGGCAAGCGTGTAACCAAACAATTAAAATTTAAATATGAGAAATGCCAGTGGAGGTATGAACAGATTCCTAGGGAAGATGATTGGGGAGTGGTAACAGTGCCTGGGGAGGCAGTCATGGAGCTATCATTTGTGGCCTCAAAAAGTGGGTTTGTAGGTGTTCACTATGCAAGCAGGGGATGGAGGAGGCACATTAAGTGGGAGGAATGGCATCTGCAAAGGCACAGAGGCATGGAAGAGCAGAGCAGGTTTCTAAGAATGAATCCTCAAACTCTTGAGTGTTGATATTAGAAGTGAAAAATTAAAGCAAGCTGGCTGAATCTTGAAATATGTTTTAATTAATGACCATGCTAGGAAGAGATAATAAAGAGGGGGAGGGCAGGAGAAGAGGGAACAGAACACGGGAGTAAGAAGTCACAGATCACTAAGGGTTAGAGCTCATAGATTTTCCTCTACTCTTGTTTCCCTAGTACAGTCTCAGATAAGCACATTGCCGTCCATCCAATTCCCCCGCAAGGCAAATTTTCTTTAACTTTTTTTCACCATAGAACCTATTTGCTCACAAAGTCTTATCAGTTCTCCACTCAAATATCCTTCACAGTTATCAAATTCTTTTTATTTCCACAATAAATGTCATATTTGGGCTACTGTCTTAACTATTGCAATAGCAATCTAGTCTTCCTGATGTATGCCTCCCCCATCTCCTCAATGTTGCGGTCATTTTTGTCTTTCTAAAACATAATTATGTTTACATCCTCTGTCATTTCCTGTCTCTAATAATTTCCATGCCTCTTTAACTGGGTGTACATAAAGGTCTTCATATTTTATTCTCAACCGACAGCTCCAGCTTCATCTTAGTCGTGGTAAAAAATAAGAAGTCTTAGAACACAAGGTCAGCAGTCAGATGGCCTGGATTCCATTCCTGATTTCATCAAGACTAGTGCTTACCTGTCATGTACTGAAATGCTCACACTGCTTGTTTATTTCCAGTCCACTCTGAAGAGGGTTAGTATTTGGACTCTCATTATTACATATATACTACCCTCCCAGTTCCTTATAGTGTGATTTGGCAAGTGGATAATACTCTCCAAACTTCAGTTCTCCCCCTTCAACCTGAAGATGAGAGTGTTAGCCTCATAAAAATTTTTATAGCATGAATGTGGTTATGCTACAAAGAGCTAGCACAGTGTGGGTCTAAGACATGTTGTTATTTGCATTATAACTTCACACTGCTCTCTAAGCACACAACTTCCCCTTCTGCCTTACTAGGCACACCTCCAAACTGTTACTTTATTCCGTCACCCTGTTAGTTTTGCATAGACTATCCAACCCCCACCAACTCAACTTCAAATATTATATCCTTCAGAAAAACATTGTAATCACATCCCTGACCTAATCCACTGCAGAAATAATTACTTCTGCTGAGGGCTCACACTATATGTTTAAAGTATGTATTGCACTGACTCATAAGTTATTATTTTATTTCTGACACCTTCATTAAGCTACAGGTTCCTCAAGCACAGGCCATGCCTTATTTATCCTCAAATACTCTTTGCCTACAACCATAACTAGCACAGTGATAAATAAATGCAAAGAGTGTTCAGTGGATGCTTATTGAATGTGTGAATGGATAATTGTGGCCAGTGGCAGACGTGATGTAGGACGCC